CCATAAAAACTGTTGGCCAGTGATTAGCAAGGGACTCAAAGAACTGCTGGTCCAGAAAGGAGCTTACTGCAGACTGATTCTTTTGACACCTGACAACAATTTTATTATTTTTATTTTTTATTTTATTTTTTAAATATATTTTATTGATTTTTTTTTACAGAGAGGAAGGGAGAGAGATAGAGAGCTAGAAACGTCAATGAGAGAGAAACATCAATCAGCTGCCTCTTGCACACCCCCTACAGGGGATGTGCCCGCAACCAATGTATATGCCCTTGACCGGAATTGAACCTGGGGACCTTTCAGTCCGCAGACCGACGCTCTATCGCTGAGCCAAACTGGTTTCGGCCCTGTCAACAATTTTAAAAGGACATGAAAGAACTCAATCATTTTCATTGAACTTAAAAATCATAAAAAGATCAAAGCTCTGAAATGTATTAAAACAAAAAGGGGGATATGCTGGGAGAAAGGACCAAAAAGTGGTTAGCATGTAGATGGGAGGAGTCCCTCAGAAGGCTGATGGGACTTTGATATTTGACAGAGCTGAAAATCTGCATATGATTACCTGCTGCTGGCTGAATATCTAAAGGCGATCCCCTAACCTGATCATCCTTTTATTGTTTACCAAACTTTACCACTGAAATGTCTCTTTGCTTTACTAAAGCATCAATGTAAATAAAAAGCTGATGGGTCCAAAGGTACAGGGAGGATCACCACTAAAGTGAAGCCTCTGCCTGCCTTTCCCCCATGCCTTCTAAATGTATATTTCTTGTCTAGTATGTCCATTTATGTGCGGCCCCTTCTCCAGATTCTGAGTCCTTGCTGCAAAAGGTTGTGGCACTGCCCTTCCCTATCTAATGGAAAATACAGGTTAGCAATCAGTATTGAGAATGAACATGTGGTACTACGGGGCTTCCGAAGCCTGAGGGACTCCGGGGGAGAGTTTTGCTGTCTGAAGCGGAGGTGAAGTCCTCTTTAAGAACAGAGTTTACTAAGCAGAGGCAAGTGGTATGAGAGAGGAACGGTTACTTCTTTTTTTTTTTTTAATTTATTTGTTGTCTAAAGTTTTACATATGTCTCCTTTTCCCCCACTCCCACCTCACCCAAAGCCATTCCCACCCTGGGCAAGCCCCCACCACCCCAGTGTCTGTGTCCATAGGTTAGAGGTGCGGTTATTTCTGTGTGACTGTGGCTCAAATGGAAGGGGAGAGCCAAGAGGTGTAGTTGAACAGGTGGTCCCACATGTAAAGTTTTATCGGGTCTAGTAATAATTAATGTCGTTTTTAAACATTCGCTTAAAATCTTGCTTGGCGTTGACTTGTATTGACATAACCTTTAAACACGTGGTATCTACAGAACGTGTGAAGTGCAATTAACAAGTTTTGCTTGAAAAAGTTTGTGTTTGGTTTGGTTTTTGTTGCAAAACTAGGGCTAAGAAGATGGTGGATGAAGAGCATATTCGGCACTGCATGCTTTACGAGTTCCAATTAGGAAGAAAAGCAAGTGAGGCTGCAAAAAACATCTGTGGTGCTCTTGGTCAAGATGCAGTTAGCGCCAGAAAATGCCAGCGTTGGTTTGAGAAATTTCGCGAGGGAAATTTTTCGTTAGATGACAAGAGTGGTCGAGGCCGTGTGTCCAATTTTGATCAAGAAGCTCTTCAAGCTCTTTTGGTGCAAAATCCTCAAATTACCCAACAAGAGCTTGCGACAACTTTAAATTGTTCACAAAAAACAATTTCCAATCAATTGCGTGCACTTGGCAAAGTCCAAAAGTTTGGAAAATGGGTTCCTCATGAGTTGACCGACAACAACTGTAATCAAAGAGTCACAATTTGCAGTTCGCTCTTCTCTCGTCAAAACCGTTTGCCGTTTTAGAGCAAATTGTTACCGGAGATGAACAATGGGTGCTGTATGTCAATTTGAAAAGGCGGCCTCAATGGTTGGACAAAAATGAGGCTCCGCAGCCCACGCCAAAACCTGACTTGCATGCGAAAAAAGTGATGTTGTGTGTTTGGTGGAATTTTAAAGGAATTCTTCATTATGAACTTTTACCATCTAACCAAACCATTACAAGTGCAGTGTATAGTGCCCAATTGGAAAGGTTAGGCCAAGCTTTAAGAGAAAAAGAACCCGCGCTGATTAATCAGAAGGGCGTAATTCTTCACCACGATAACACACGACCGCATACTGCAAGAATCACTGCTGTAAAACTGCGCCAGTTGGAATGGGAAGTTCTCCCTCAACCTGCATGTTCTCCTGATATTGCCCCTTCCGATTACCATTTGTTTCGTTCTTTGCAAAACTTTCTTCTTGGAAAAAAATTTAATAATGAAGAATGCCTCAAAAATGCATTGACCGAATTTTTGCATCATAATCACAAGAATTTTACAACAGAGGGATTAAAATGCTTCCTGAGCGTTGGGCACAAGTAGTAGAAAACAACGGCAACTATATTGTTGATTAAATTTTGTTGTATTGTTTAAATAAATTCGATTAAAAAAAAATATTAGAAAACGACATTAATTATTACTAGACCTAATAAATTAATAAATGGTGATTATGAATTTTTTTCCTGTTTTAAAAAATACCTAAATTCCTTAATTGCATTCGAAATGTATTCTGCTGAGGTATGATACATGATATCATATACATATATATACAGACACACACATAGGTATATTAACAAATTATGTGTATATATTACAAGCCAGATATTGATGCTCACTTCAACCCCTGCATCACACACTGCTGGTAGAGTTAGTATTTATCCTACCTCATCCTGTGTTGATATTTCTCTCTTTCTGTATATTTTCTTTGTTTCCAAGCCCAGTACCTATGAAGTCTTCAAGGACATAAATGATCTTATATTTAAATGTGAAATTTTAGGCCTTATAAGAATTCCTAGACAAGAAAAATGCATCAGTACAGAGCACAAGAGATAAATTTTGCACAACTTATTGGCAAAAATGTGAGGGCATGGGGTATTGTGGTATAGAAGATCTTTATAAAGGAATATGGGTGTTTCTATTTTTTTTTTTCCTGTCTCTACCAGCTCCTTTCTCATCCTAGTTAAAAAAAGAAATAGAATGGTAAATTATATGCTGAATTTCATTCCTAGTTCTATTTGGCTGCCTATTTATTTAAATAATTATTCTCCTTGGAGAGAAGCAAATGACAGAAACATAAATTTTGTACAAGTGTCAATGAGAGTCTGATCACACATCATGTGGCAATCACCTGCCTATAGGGGCTGACATACAGTGGGGGAGTGTGGGAAAGGCTGAACACCTGCTTTGAAATCCAGAGGTGTTGAGTGTCTGGACACGGTTTGGGAGGCAGGGAAGTACCTGGAAAAATCTCTCGCCGTGGTTGAGTGGAATGTTTTGCTGCCTCCCTCTTTTTCTGGGGGACTCTCAGAGACTATTGTGCTGCCTCAGACTGTGCTGTAACCTCAGGTGTCAGAGGGGTCAGCAGCAGACTGAGTGTGGACTCTCAGTGCCAGAGTCTGGAATCAAAGGCCCTTTTCTGGGCATATTCATATGTAAGCACCATATGCACCAAGAGACAGCACTTTAAGGAGGCAGCTCCCTGACAACTGGATTCCACCCTGAAAATGCCCCGGCTTTAGACTTCTCTGCACTGACCTAGGGCATCAGCGTGTCTTTTCTCTCTCTATCCAGACAAACTCCCCAATCTGAGAGCTTTCTTTTCACCAACTAAGCAAAGCATGATTTATTAACAACTGTAAATCACCTCCAGGTCCTTTGAAGGACTTTCATTCCTCTTTGTCCTGGATATTTTTTATGACAGGTAAAAATATCTATCCTCAGAGCTACACGAGATAAAAATGAATGGCCCCAAAGGGAATGAACTCTCGATTTAGCTAATGCTTCCTTTTGAAGAGTATATCTTAAACGGAAATACAGTAGTATATGACATTAAAATCTGAAAAATTCACTGTGAAATAGTCTATTTTCTCTACTCTAATATTTTTTATGCAGAGGAAAAAGCAAAAAAAAAAAAAAAAAGTAACAAGGTAAATTTAGTAAATTGAGCAGAAGAACAAAGAAGCAGAAAACAGAAGCATACTTATTCTGAGACTGCAACCACGTCCTAAGAATAAAGTGGTTCCTGTTAGTTGGCAAGAAGGGGAAATGCTGCATATTATTTCTCCTGCACAATAGGAAAGTAAGGAAAGTGTATCTTGGCCAAACAAGTCAAGAGACTGACTCCTGCCCGATCTGGAGGAATCCTTTTCTCTTTCCATTTTTCTTTACTAACCGTTTGATTACTGCTATGTAATGCCCCTTCACACTAAAATAATTGCTTGTGTTTATCAGTTTATCACCATAACTATAAGATGGCACTATTATTAGCCTCATTTTACAATGAAGGAACTGAAGCTCAGAGAGGCCAAGGAACTTGCTTGGCATCATCACACAGCCAGTAAGTTGAAAAGCCTCAAGCTGAACTCTTCTCAATCTTCAAAACTTTCCTTCTGACCTTTCATAGGCTAATATACAAAATGTCCCCTTGGGAGTTCAACTGGGAGACCTGTAATTCAATCACTCTCTATGACATGTGCTGACCAGCAGGGGGCTCTGTGAAATGAAGAAAGGCCCTGGCTGGCAGCCGGAAGGCCCCAATAAGCCCTGATCATTGGTCAGGCCTAGGGACCATACTCATGCACAAAGTTCGTGCAACAGGCCTGTAGTATACTACATATATTTTTTAGTGATAATACTGAGTTCATTAAGAAGAAACCACTTCCATGTAAAGTATCCCAAGTACCTCTTTTAATCCTAAATGACATAACAAGACTGAGCTATTTAATAAGACCTGGGGATGGAGGGACTTGCAGGGACAGGGTAGGGACTTACAGCCCCATTTCAAAGCACGTTGTTTCAAGGTGTTCCCCTTTGCCATCTCATTAGTGAGTGACAACAAAGAATCAAAGATGAACACAACCTGCCCACTCCTGTCCCCTCATTTGAGCCAACTTACTCCATAGAGTCGATGATTTTTTTTGGCTCCACAGGGCATGGATATATGACTTCATCAATGTGCTTCAGGTTACAGTTGGAAAAGGCAGTAGAGATGTGTATGAAGGCTTCCAGCTTTGGCATCTGACTGGCCATGAGCAGAAGCTTCTGGGTGGCAGTAACGTTGAGCTGCACGGCGTGTCTAGAGAGAATTAGGCAGAAAGAAACACACCGGGCCTGTATCATGCTTCTTGGTGAAAAGTGGGTCAAGTATATCTATGATCCCTTCTCTTAGCACTGCTCTGAAATTCCAGCCTTGTAATTAGGGGAAAAAATTCACAGTTATAAACATTAATAACATTAATAGATGTAAAGCAGTCACAAACCCAATGTCAGATTACATCATTGTATATCTGGAAAGCAAACAGAAGCAGCTAAAAAATGTTGGATGGACAATAAGATAATCCAGTAAGGACAGAAAAAAACAACTAGAAAATATAGTGGAAGAAAGGCACAGATTCAAAACCCAACAGTTAAATATATATCACATTAATAATAAACAAATAGGCTCTACTAAAAATGATAAAACTTCAAAAGGATCATGACAAAAAATTTGAATAAAGAAATATATTGTTTCTGGATAGAAAGAACTAATGTTTTTCTAAATGAATCTATATATTCAAGGTAATCCCAATAAAATTTCCAAACCTTTAAAAAAACTGGCAAATTATTGTAAGTTTAGTCAAGAAGTACAGCAGGTGAGAATAGTCAAGAAAATCCTATTAAAAATGATCTGTGTGTATATTTGCCTAGTAAAATAAAAATTATAGTAATGAAAATACTATGATGTTGAAAGAAAAAGCTGAATAAAACTAAAGATGATAATTTAATATGTTACAAGTTTCCTTTCAAATAAAGAAGTGAAAATAAATCATTTAATAAATGTTTTAGAAGTAACCATCAGCTAGAAATAATAAAAAAAAAGGTTACTCTACATTCACACCTACCCCACTCTTGTTTTACAGAACTTTCCTGACTTCTTATTCCCCCTGATAGCAAAATAAATGTTAAATGGGTCAAAATTGAAATGTGAAAATGAAACAATAAAAATACTAGAAGAAATTTCAAATAACTTCATACATAATAAAAATAAAGTTGAGGATAAATGGTAAACTGTTAAGATATTTGAAGCCTTTTAAAAAACAAAGAATTATTAAATCTTTCAAGAAATCTTAAAATTTATCAGAAAAAATGCTTCAAATGAAAAAAAAAAAAAAAAAGCAAAAACTGTGGATAGGTATTTGAACAAAAGAATAAAATACCAATCAGCATTTAAACATCTTCAACCTTTCTAATTATCAAAGAAATAAAAATCAAAACTCACAATGTCACTTCCATGATCAAATTAACAATGTTAAAAAGAATTAAAGAATTAAAATAGAGCATGGTGGTGGGTGTTGAAATGGGGAATCGTGTGCATAGTGATGGTGTAAATTGATGATACCATATTTTCAAGAGCAATTTAGTATTATATGACAAATTATAATCTGTTTCTAATCTGGGCACATTTGATACATACCTAACAATTACATTTAGTATGTACCCAAAGGGAAGCACCCAAAGGTACTATATAAAAAAAAAAACACATTTATGTGCAGAGGTGTTCATTGAAGAGTTGTTTACAATAGTGAAAAATTAGGACAATCTACCTATACAGAACTGGCTGAATATATTACATATGTGTACAAATGAGTATTATGTAGTCATTATAAATTATAATAGACAATGAAAGATAAAAAAATAAATGAGCAGTTTGCAAAAATCTTCTCAATATGATGACTTTGTTGTAGATTTGAACACAAATCTATTTTACTAAGGCTCCATAAAGAAAAACTGACATCGCTGAAACTGGTTTGGCTCAGTGGATAGAGCGTCGGTGTGCAGACTGAAAGGTCCCAGGTTTGATTCCAGTCAAGGGCATGTACATTGGTTGCGGGCACATCCCCAGTAGGGGGTGTGCAGGAGGCAGCTGGTCGATGTTTCTCTCTCATTGATGTTTTTAGCACTCTATCCCTCTCTCTTCCTCTCTGTAAAAATCAATAAAATATATATAAAAAAAGAAAAAGAAAAAGGAAAAACTGACGTGGCTCAGTGGTGAGCCTCGACCTATGAACCAGGAGATCACAGTTCTATTCCCAGTGTGTATGGGGGGGAGCACCTGCCTGGGTTGCAGGCTCAAGCCCCAGTGGGGGGGGGGCGTGCAGGAGGCAGCCGATCAATGATTCTCTATTATCATTGATGTTCCTATCTCTCCCTCTCCTTTCCCCTTCCTCTCTGAAATCAATAAAAATATATTTTTTAAAAAAAGGAAGAAAGAAAGAAAGAAAGAAAACAAAAAGGGAAAACTGGAATGAATGTTCTCCACAATGTTAAGTGGTTAGCTCTGGGCATGTGAGATTTTGGAGAAGTTTTTACTCCTTTGTACTTACTTTTTCATTGGGACTACCTTTTCTTTAAAAAAAAAAAAAAATCAACAACAGAAACCACAGATTTACAAAACAGATGTGCATGCACACGTGTATGCACACACACATATATCCATACAAGCCACGAGAAGGGAACAGGAAGTACCTCAGGTGGTCATTGAAGCGCACGGTGGCGGCACAGTGGAAGACGATGTTGGTGCAGGAGAGCAGCTCCTGCATGTCCCCCTTGCTGATGGCCAGGTCGTTCTGGTTGAGGTCTGCGTAAACCGCTCTGATCTTCTCATGCACGTTGGGACAGACCTCTTTGGCTTTTTCAAACAGCTGAAACATAAATATAAATCAATATACAAAGATCACCAGCTCCAGCACATTGTTTCTTGTTCTCATGGACCTGTTTCACCCTAACTCTAAAAAACGGGTTTTACTAGTAGTTGTAATATCACTCAAAGAAGGCATCCCAAGAGCATTTGCTTAATTTTGTGCAATTCATGTTTGGGATCATGCCTGCTCTTCATAATCTGATAAACATTTGAAAAAAGCCAGTTCTAATAAGCAGGAAAAAAGTGTGTTTGAACGTTCCTGCAGCGTGGAGGAGTGATAGTAAATTAAATGTATCCGGCCCCCTCTGCTCCTCCCTCAGGAGGCATCTCTGTGTTTATACATGGTGGTGATTCCATTTTGTGCTGGAAAATACTGTTTTCAGTGCAAAATTGCCAGCCTATATAAAATTTTCAGGCATTGCAAAGTCTCATGAGGATCAATTCAAAACAATATATTTAACTGGCCAGATTAACAAGATGTCCTAGCAACACAAACATAATTGGAAACAAATTAAGCACATTTATAATGGTTAAAACAAATACAAATTTTATATCCCCTCTTTCTAATATAAATGGCAGTTATTGCCAAGTTAGATAATTACGTGAGCTCATGAACCTTTTATGGAATTATAATTGATTTTTTAAAAATATTCTAATTTATAAAGGGCAAAGGAAGGAGCAGTGGCAGCTTCGACTTTCATTACAATTATTCACTTGGATCGAGGTCTCTACTTTCGCCTCCACACAGAACTTCTTCAATTAAATTGGTGCTTTCTATTTTATCAGGAAATATGATTTTAATAAAATGATCTTGGTTCCAACCTATTTTGGTAAAAATGGAATTTTACTGTAATATTGGTATGATATGTTAACAGCGGGGGGGCGGGGAGGGGGCAAAAATGTAAGGCTAAATGTTTAGAAAAGTTAAGGGCAGAGAAAATTCATCTTTGGTTTTAATCAAAATAGAATAGCAGAGGCAGTCCTCTTCTACCCTTTAACCACCAAAGAATGTTTTCATCTATTCCTTGATCCTTAGTAGCAGGCTTCTTCTCTCCATTAGAGATCTACCCTGGGCTTTTCTTTGGGTAATAAGTAGTTGATCTCAGGTAGTCAGAGGAATCATGCCTCATTTGTATCAGGCAAGACCATATTCAGAGGCCATGCTGGGAGTTTTATGAAGGTGATCAGAGAAGGAAATTAAATTCACATATTGCTTGGCAAGTTCAGATACTCTATCTCTAAGCTACTATTTTTCTGCAAAGGGTCAGTCTTTTCCATGGAGTGTTAATTCAAATCTAAAAATAACTAAATTTGTGGAAGGCTCTTTTTCTTTTTTTTTTTTTTAATCTGCTTGATAGATTTTATTCACACAAAAATTTATTTAAGGTTCTGTGGAATCTTTGACTTTGGCTGTGATGATTTTTGGCTGCTTGACGGTAAGAAGGGGAAGATGATTTCAGTGTCCATCCTCCTAGTAATGGGGTTTCTCATGTCTGATGTAAGTTGCTATACACAGATTTTCTATTTCCTTTGTTTTTTTGTGACTCTAAAAGGCAGAGGATACTCCACACCATATTGTGCTTTCAGACAGCCAATGTAATGTTGAACAGCACCCAAATACTAATTTACAGCATTACTGTTATAGGAGATAATTGTTATTTAAGGAAATGATGTCTCAATCTATATTCTATATATTGACTTATGATTTCAAATGAGAGAGCATATTTGAATGAAATAGTCCACTTAAAAAAAATCTGAGTTTTCTGATCCAAATAATAAATGATTATTATGAGTCAAAAGAAATCAATGTCAATGAATTAGCTGCATTATATAACATGCCTTATCTGAATCTCACCATATTGCTATAATTTCTAATAAAACAACACTCTGTAAATACTGTTACATCCTACAGAGAATGCTAGATTTGCATCCCCAAACTGCCATCCACCAGGTCAGTACTTTTCAAGGTGTTATCCCCCAATCAAACTGCATGGGGATCACTAGCAAGTATTCATATTAAAAATTTATTTGTATTTCTGGGCTCCATGAAAGAAACTGCAGAAAATACAAATAAGTAAAAAGAGATATTCAATGGATTGAAAGAATCTATACTGTTAAAATGGCCATCCTACATAAAGCAATCTATAAATTCAATGCAATCCCTATCAAAATATCAATCACATTTTTAAAAGAAATAGAACAAATAATTCTAAAATTTTTATGGAACCACTCAAAACCCTGCATAGCCAAAGCAATCTCAAGAAAGAACAAAGGTGGAGGCATCATGCTCCCTTATTTCACACTATAATACAAAGTAGTAGCAATTAAAACAGTATGGTATTGGCATCAAGACAGACACATAGATTGGTGGAACAGAATAGAGAGCCCAGAAATAAATCCATTCATATATGATCAATTAATTTACAACTAAGGAGCAAGAATATACAAAGGGGAAAAGACAGTCTCTTTAATAAACAGTTTTGGGAAAATTGGACAGCTACATGCAAGTGAATGAAACTGGAACACTATCTGATATTATGCCCCTAAATTAGGTCAAAATAGATTAAAGACTAGAACACAATACCTGAAATCATAAAGATCCTAGAAGAAAACATGGTGGTAATCTCTTTGACATAGGTCTTGGCAATGATTTTTTTAATCAAAATCAAAAGCAACAAAGGAAAAAAAATAAATAAGTGGGACTACATTATAGTAAAAAAAACTTCTGCACATCAAAAGAAACCAGAAACAAAAATGAAAAGGCAACTTACTGAATGGGAGAATATATTTGCAATCATATATCTAAATAGGAGCTAATATTTAAAATATGTTTTTAAAAAAACATTCAACTCAATAGCAAAAAAATATCCAATTTAGCAGAAGATCTGAATAGACATTTCCAAAGATGACATACAGACGGCCAATAGACACATGAAAAGATGTTCAATATCATTAATCATCATAGAAATGCAAATAAAAACCATGAGATATGACTTCATACCTGTTAGAATGTCTATCATAAAAAGGACAAGAAATACCAAATATTGGAGAGGATGTGGGAAAAAGGGAACCTTTATGCATTGTTGGTGGGACTGTAAATTGGTGCAGCTACTATGGAAAATAGTACATAGATGCCTCAAAAAATTAAAAACAAAATTATCACATGACTCAGCAAGTCCACTTCTGGGTATTTATCCTAAGAAAACAAAAACATAAACTTGAAAAGATATATGCATTGTCATGTTCGTTGCAGCATTATTTACAGTAGCCATGATATGAAAATAGCCTAGGCGTCCATTGACAGATGAATGGGTAAAGAAATTATATATAGATAATGGAATATATATATAACTAATGACCTGATGCATGAAATTTGTTCACAGGGGTGAGGGGGGCTCCAAATGGGGACCATTTGGGGGATGTCTGACTGCTGGTTTAGGCCCAATCTCTGTCTGACTGCTGGGGCTCTGCAATAGGCCCTCCCAGCTTTGACAGCTTGCCTCAGCTCTTGCAGCCACAGTTTTGTCTGGAAGGATGTCCAGAGGGTCGTCCGTAATATGTCTAGTCTAATTAGCATATCACCCTTTTATTAGTATAGTTGGAATATCCTATATAATAAAAGGCTAATATCAAATTGTCCCCTCGATCGAGACTTTGACCAGGAGTTCAACCAGGGAGCAGGGCCAGCCAGCCAACTTTCTGCGTCCCCTCCCCCCAGCCAGCCCAGTCCGTAGGTTCTTGCTCTCAATTCCTCAATTTATCCTGAGGTTTTTGCATCCCCAAACCTATGCCTTTAACCTCAGCATGCACTCACATACACCGTAAGTGGGGCCCAATAAGTAAGTAATTACTGGGGCATAATCAGGACTTTGGATTTTACATGAAGTTCTTTAGTTGATTTTTACTGATCCCAGGATGAGAACTTCTTTAGTTGGGATGATAACACAGATAATTACTGATGAACAAATGTCATTTCCCTTTATAACTTCCCAGGGTAGTTACAGGATATCGGTGGTTTTCAAGCAGTAGGCATAAGAATAATCTGGGGACCGGTTAAAAATGATTCCTATACTCCACCCTCAGAGACCTGGGCCTGGTAGGTTTGTTTTGTCACCCAGGAAGTTATATTTCTTAACAAGCTCCGCCAATAGGTCTGACATACTTGGAGAAACACTGACTCTGAATATTCATGTCTATTTGTAAAGTCAGGGCTTAAATTTCACCCCAACCTGGTTTGTAAATTCCTTGATTCTTATCCATCTATGCTTGGCAGCTCCCAGATCATTGAAAGGATTCAAATTTTGTTTATTAAATTAAAATTAATTACTGTGAGAATACTAATAGAATCATGAATGGGGCTTGATTCCTGAAATTGCTTGGCTCTCAGCTCTTTCATAGCGGGAGGATGAAAGGTAGCAGATCACTGCTCCTAAATGAAGACACCCTGGGCCCTCTGTACTGGCTGACAATGTCAGCTGGAAATTCTCAGAGCAGAGCAAACCTTCCTCCTTTGTAATAATGACAAGCCCAAAGGACAGATGAAATGATGCACCTGGATCCTCGATAGATATCAGCTCTTCTGAACATTTCTTTTGCTAATGAAAGGATTTTAGAGACAGGAGAGGCAGTTAGGGAAAACGCAGTTTTAGGGTAAGGGCCCATTGAAAGGAATGCATATTTGATGGGCGGAAATGGCTCCAACACACCGGATTGTTTAAAAAAATGTTCAAGGTAAGGGGATGAAGAGGAGGGGAGCACTGGGTGAGCTTTGGGACTTGGAAATTGATACCACGCAGGGAAAATGGGAAAAGAGGCCAATTAGGAAAACATGGGGACATAAAATAAAGAAGGGCCCAATTAGAAAGTAGGATGAACAGATAAAGAAGTTTCGAGCCGAAATCGGTTTGGCTCAGTGGTAGAGCGTCGGTCTGCCGACTGAAAGGTCCCAGGTTCGATTCTGGTTAAGGGCATGTACATTGGTTGTGGGCACATCCCCGGTAA